TTTAAGCGAAACTTATTTAGTACAAAATGCAATTGAATCACGAAATATGAGGAAACTAAAAATAATTAAAATATTCATAACCTAACCTAGCCTAGTAACCCCTGTCACCATCGGTGATAACATAACCTTGTAACCTTACTCCCTTATCACCGAAGTACGTTCATTTATTAGTTCATACAATTTATCATGTGACGTAATTGTCGTCTTTTGCGGTTTTCACTATAATAATATGCAACAAAACGTATACTTACCTTGAGAATAATCGAATATTAATGAAAAAAAAAAAAACATGAAATATTTATCGCCTAGAAGCTGGCGAAGTAGTATTGAGAAACTATGAAGAAATAAGACAAACAGGAAAAAACTTACAGGCAAAGATTAGTCTGGTGGAAAATAAAAACCGACAAAAGAAAAATATTAGATTGTTAAAACAATATTTCCAGGAGTTACTAAACATAGGCGAGCCAGAGAACTCACTTTTTCCCATCTATGGACGAGATATAAAAAGTGATAGAAAAATTAAAAAGAAGAAAATCGCCAAGCTTAGATGGCATTGAAGCCGAACATCTTAGTGAAAAAAAATAAGTAAGGCGAGACACCTACACCGACTGATCACTCAAAAATGGAAAAAAGAGGAAATACCAGATGAGTGGGAGGTGGCAGTGATAGTCAAAATTAGAATTACAGGGACATCTGTCCCATAGTAGGTTCTAGCTCTAGTTAAATAGACTCACCCCGTTCGCAGTTGCTTTATTTTTCAGAAAGCGAATTTAATTTGTTCTTAGAATGTACTTAATAATGTAGAGGGTGTTCCATTTAAAAAATGCACTTTTCAACATTTCTGTATCTCGTAGGAAAATCATTATTTATGACTAACCCTGTATGATGTAGAACTGATTTCGATATTAATTTAACTTAACTTAACTTAAATAAAATTATTAATTTCTCGAAAACCACTAAAGATGGATGGATAGGAACATATTACACAAAAACAATCATAATGTATAAGTGAATCGGAAAATGCAATAATATACGTGGTGCCCCATTCAAAATTTTGACAGTGATGCTACTTTTTCGAAGAAACGGCCACGTCGCAGAGTTAAAAATATTTTAGATCGATAGAGCATCATCGCCAGTTATGGAACTAGCCATATTTGCAGAACAATATTGCTATAAATAAGCCTATTTAAGAAATGATATCTGGACAACTATATAAATAATAATTTTAACAATTTTAACGTTCTCTGGAAAAAACTTAAAGAATTCAATATTTTCCCAATAAATGATAAAAATTGTTTGCCTGAATTGCTTGAATGTTAATAATATTAAGAGCTATTTTTAACAGTTTTCTGTATAAAATATACCTGTTAATAAAAACTTCACCTTATTTTACAAACAAAATGCAAAGAGTAATTTTTTTTATTTAGTCTTTATGCAGTTGTCGAAGAAACCGTGAAAAAGAGCATTTATTTTAAATAAAATCGCCTGCTAAATCTGGATATGACACTATTAAGCTGTCATATAATTCTCCCTTTTATTACTAATATCATTAATTCAATTTTGCTCTATAGGGAATTTCCTAGTTTCTGAAAAATTTCCAAGGTAACCCCCATTGCTGATCAGTATAGTGCACTTATTACCAAAGTTTTTTAAAAAAAGTCAGTTCATTCTTGAAGAAATCATTTAACTTAACTAGGAGGTTCCTCAGACATTTAACGAAGAGGACGTGGACGGACTTTCGAAATTGGAGACAAATAAAGCTAACATTGCCGAACTGAGAATTCTCTTACACATAACCGAGCAGTATTTTATGCTAAAGGGAATAAAATGAATCAAAACACTCTTATAACATTGATTACTTTGCGGGAATAAAAAAAAGGTTAAGAATGATGTTAAGAATTTTTAATTCTCTATGAATAAATACCATACTTTTATTTCAAGAAATTAGTGTCTCCTTGTCTTATTCCAAAATGATTTGTTTGAGTCTACTTTAATTTTGGTCAGAGATGTTCATTCACATTTTTGATTTTACTTTAAGTTATAGCTAAAACTTGGATTTATTCCGTTATTAGCTTAAGGGAAGAGATAAAATCATTAGTGTTTGAACAAATGTATACAAAATAATAGAATTGCATAAAACTAAAGACTGATTGGTAAGTGGCATTAAGCTAGGATTTTTTTAGACCAGACTTTGAGGTGGAACAAAAGATGAAACCTACTACACTATAACTGAAAATGAACGTATCAGAAATGCCGTATGCGAACCTTTTAAGAGCTGAAATTTGTACAGCCACGTTAAACACATGAGGCAAGATAAATTCCCGCATCCCAGGTAAATTTTTTATTAGTTTATGATGTTGAACCCTATCAAACGCTTTAGATTAGACGAAGCAGACACTAGACCCAGAGAATAGAGCCTTTTTGATTTCCATTGAGCTCTGGAGACTAAATCCTGTTTCCGACATGCAATTAAATAGTATTTTTTGATTGATCTTAAAGACTAGTTTTATATGTAGGTGGTCCATGAGACTAATCATCACATAAAATAGTTGAAATATTCAGACCAGGAGCGTCCCTGTCTTCAATTTGCTTCCTTGCAAGCCGCACTTTATCCATAGTAACCGATAGCCTTGATTCATTTGCAGTTCTAGGAGGATTTGGTTTTGCGTCGTGAAACGAATCCTACTACTACTAGAATGAAAATTTTATCTTCAATGATTTGGAACTTACCTTTGAAAAAAAATAGAGGAAGAAGCGCTGCTGTGGTGTTTAGAACTATGATGTAGGGATTAGATTTTAGAGATCAAATATCAAGTAGACTCAAAGAACAAACGTAAGAACCTTAAGACTGCGGCAAATAAAGTCATCGAAAGTAGCCGAACACAATCACGAAACCGGACATCAAATTTTATTCGATTAAACTAAAATTATGAGTGTAATCCGAGAATCTATGGAAATCTTTAATCAGCCAAACAATCTTAAACGCCACTCAGGTCTTTTTCCGTCACCAATATGAGACTCAGTCATCCGAGACAATGTCCATGCTCCTCCATGACTCTGGCTTGCTCAATTTGTGCAAAAGTAAGCTTTGCAGATACTCAAGACTATGTCATGGCGTCTTTAAACAAAAATAAATATCTTAAGCATCTTTTAACGTTATTCATGTATGTATTTTAGATATTTATGTAGCAAATTGAATTGGGCATACACCGATTAGTATTAATAATATCAAGTTACTCTGTTTAAATGAGCATAATTTTATATTGAATATAGTTTTAAATTAGTTAGATGTACATTTAAAAATATTAATATTGCTTTAAATCAAGCTGTCAATTCCATCCAACAGGTTATGTCTGTTTTGGTTGATCTTGGGCTTGTTTTATATTGTATGGTAATTTTACCATAAAAATGGAGATATTTTTAAAGTATTTTTTAAATAATTTTGTTGATGTCAATTCCAACAATTGAAAGCTTTTATTTTGGGAGATAGAAAAGTACTTGCGAAAAATATAAAGCGATTTTCGGCTTCTATTTTTACTAAAACATTTGATATGCTTACCAATGATTTTTGATAATTCTTAATAAATAAAGTTAGTTAAGAAATGCTGTTAGAAATGGGCTTTTTCCGAGGCGTTACTTAAGATACATTAATAATTAGTACAAAAATAAATTTCTACCAATGTTAAAGACCAGCGATAAATACCACATTTTATTAACAAGGTAAGCCGAAGAAGATATTTACATTATTTGCTTTCATTTTCTCTCTCCAAACCTAGTATTGCTATTAGTCTATACAGAGAATATTAATCTAACATGTAAATAGTTACTTTAAAACTACTTCCAGACTAAGAAAAGAATTCATTAGCAACTTTTTCTTTTAATTTCATCGGCCAAAATTTCTCATAATTTGGATGTAGCCCCTACCATTCTTAAACAGATGTATTTATTAAAAATCTCCCTATGACATAGTTAAAAGATATAGTTAGTAAATGTAGTAATAATAGTGTTCAAAATACATATCTTTCAATACTTTTATAACAGAATCTGGGGGCCAGAGCCCCGCTTGGGGATCGCCCCGTGTGTGAGGCGGGGAGCTCTCGAAGCCTGGGCGAGAGACCGGGCCGCGGGGGGCTGGAGAGTTGCTCCGGGAATGAGGCAGGCGAGGCTTATGATGGATGGGCCCGCCCTTCCTCGGACCAGGGAGCTGCTTAGACTGACCAGGAGGGAGTGTAGAGCACTAACAGGGGCCTACACAGGACATTGCAGGCTTAGGAGGCATCTCTGCTTGCTAGGCATTGGAGACGACCCGGAGTGTAGGTGGTGCATGGAAGGGGAGGAGACCCCGTATCATCTGCTCACCGAGTGCCCTGCCTTGACATGGGCAAGATTGGGAGTCTTCGGAACGGCCCTGATCGATCCGGACTCAGTGCACGGTATTGGGCTAAAGGAGTTGCTGACCTTCTACAGGAGGGGCGGCATTCTGGACGCCCTCTAGAGCGGCCTGGGGGCACAACGGGCCCATCTGGTGGCCTAAGTGCTTGGACGCCCGCGAGGGCGCCCCCCTTTAATACCAATACCAATACAGAATCTGGAAATTCCTAACTTTACCCAACCCTTACAACCTTACACCGGTAAAAGCTGAGACTGCACGAAAATTCGTATGACCGGTCTTTACACTTCGTCAGGTTTTGTGTAGCCACGATATTTGATCAACTCAAACTAAACAGTATGTTACGCCTTGTCGTTTTCATTTGAATATTAGAAAGTAGTACATTTTCAAAATACTTGTATTGTTTCTCCTGAAACATTTTAAGGAGGCAACGCTTTCCAAATAAAGAGATGATACAATCGCAGAAGTAGCATTTGCAATTTAGAAGTAAACATTTGAAGACAGGACTTTTTACCACAATGAAATATATATGTTGTAAAAAGGATTTGTCTTTTTCTGTGCAGGAGGAATCCAGAAGTTTTGTAAATACTGACCACGATTTCCTTTACAGAAATGTCCGCGCGGTCTAGCGATGAACGAAACGGACCTCTTCTACGCCACGAGCTGGCCGTACTGGCTCTACGACAACCTCACCTTGAATACCACCGACCTAGAAGCCGAAGCGTGGAAGAAGTGGACCGAGCTGATTCAAGACCGGGCCGTTGTCGTGTCTCTGCTGCTCCTATTCTCCATGTGCACGGTATTCGGCAACACCCTGGTAATTCTTGCGGTGGTCCGTGAACGATACCTTCACACGCCCACTAATTACTTCATCACGTCGCTGGCAGTCGCGGACTGCTTGGTGGGCCTGGTGGTGATGCCGTTCAGCGCCCTGTACGAAGTGCTCGGCCACACCTGGTTCTTCGGTCCGGATTGGTGCGACATCTGGCGATCCTTAGACGTGTTGTTCTCGACCGCGTCCATTTTGAACTTGTGCGTCATCAGTTTGGACCGGTACTGGGCCATTACCGATCCGATAGCCTACCCGATGCGCATGACCCGCGTCAGGTCCATAGTGCTCATCGCTGCCGTGTGGGTATGTTCGAGTGCGATCTCATTTCCGGCCATAGTGTGGTGGCGGGCGGTGCGAACTGAACCAATACCGAGATACAAGTGCCCTTTCACGGAACACCTCGGATACCTGATCTTCTCTTCCACTATATCGTTCTATCTACCCCTTTTCGTGATGGTGTTCACGTACTATAGAATATACAGGGCGGCAGTCGCTCAGACGAAGTCTTTGCGCCTCGGTACCAAGCAAATACTGATCGGTGCCGGGGAACTCGAGCTCACGCTCAGGATCCACCGGGGTGGCACTTGCAAAACACCCCAGACCGAAAACAAAACCCTCTACGGTGCGCAGGAAGACGAACCGCTGACCGCGATGGCCAACAACGGCCTGAACAGGATACCTTCGACACGGTTAAACCCTCACAACAAGAACTTTTCGTTGAGTAGGAAGTTGGCGAAGTTCGCCAAGGAGAAGAAGGCTGCCAAAACGTTGGGCATCGTGATGGGGGTGTTCATCGTGTGCTGGTTGCCGTTTTTCGTGGTGAACCTGCTCTCCGGATTCTGTCTCCAGTGCATATGGCACGAGAAGATCGTATTGGCCATCGTAACGTGGCTGGGATGGATCAATTCGAGCATGAACCCTGTGATATACGCATGTTGGAGTCGAGATTTTAGAAGGTAAGTCTAATTTACGTTGAGGACGTAAACTAAACAAAGAAGTGGTCTTTTGAAGTGTTTAGCTGGATCAAGCTCAGAACTGAATTCGTGTTCAGGCTCCTGTCACCTTAATACCCCTCAAAAATACCGAAAGTAAGACTCCCTGATTTTTGATACTTTTACGGTATATATCTCTTATTAATAAAGCCAGTGTGTTGCCAATTTTCTTTTTTTTTTTTAAATTAAAGATGGCACAAACAGAAATGTCGTAGCCATCTTGGATTTTTGAATACAGGGTAATTTTGGCATTATTAGATATTCCTTGTAGCTCGGTTATGATTATGATTATGATCCAGTGGCGTAGTCAGTTTTCTTCTAAAATTCACAAATTTTTATACAAACTACAATTGCGTTTTTTAATGGGACATGCATTTATTAGTTTTTCAAGAATATGTTATATATTAGGGCTATTTCAAATTCTGCCCCTTTAACTTAATTATTCAGGAAAATTCGCAAATAGCATTAATGCAGCAATTCTAAGTTTGCTATTAAAAAATAGAGTTTCATCAATTTTGCAGCGTACCTTGATAAGGTGGAAGGTGCAAGGACTATATTTTCATCAATCATTAATATGTTGAGTTGTTCAAAGTACAAACTTTCAGCAAGTCATTGGTAAATCATTAATAGGTCCTTTTATTTTGCCAAATAGGTCAAATGTCAATACTTACTTGTTAGAGAATATGCCCATACTTGCGATGTTCTGTCAGCATGACGGAGGACCAGTGGAGCCCAGCAAATTCTCCAGTTCCGTAACCCGACTTAAACCCGCTAGATTATTTTCTGTGAGTTAATATGTTTAATTCTAATTATGCCACAGAAGTAGATATTCCGGAGGAATTGCCAAAGCGAACTAATATTTTTCCTAATATCGAGATTCTTGGAATAGCAGAATAAAATCGCATGAAAATGTGTTTGAGAACTTAATGTTGATATAACTCGAGAATTTGCAATATTATTTTCGGACACCCAGTATATATACTTTTGAACAGCCGATAACAAGCCAATGAAAGTATTAAAATACACTCAGGGTGTGGCCGAACAACACGCGTTTTAGCCTCTTCCATCTCTTGCTACTTTTTCTCACTGTCGTATTTCCAACATATTAGCATATCTTTCTTCATTTTCTTTTCACCTAGGTCTACCTGGTGGCCTTCTTGTGATTGATCAGCCTCTGCAAACTGTCTCAATATCTCTATTCTCCGCTCTGATGAGCAAGCCTCCTCTATCCTTTTTTGCAAATGATCCATGGCTGTTAAATTATTTCTTTTGTTCATCTGTAAGCCCAGGTACTTGAATTCTTTCACTTTTACAAATGACCTATTATCTGTTGTTAGGTTTATGTCTCTGTTTCTCTTGGATCTAATTTCGAGTATTTAGTTTTCTCTTAACTACCCTGAGCTTTATTACCTTAAAGAATATTCTTTTGTGTTGCATATAATCCCCAAATAGGACGGGTATGGTGAAGCCTTCAATTTCTTGCCCATTTCTACCATCTATATCATCGAGTCCTTCTATCGCTAGAGCTAGGGCTACGTCAAAAAGTAATATCTTATCTTTAACGCGGGCATTAAATTCCTAGCACGCACTTCTTTGTCAGATTAATGAGTGTATTTGGGAAACTGAACTTTTTCATGGCGCTTAAAAGGCGTTTACGGTGGATGCTGTCAAGCCCGTTTATAGTGTAATGGTGACTCTCTCTTGTGAATTGGTATTATTGTAGCCTCCTTCCATTGATCTGGTATTGTCTCCTTGCTCCAGATGTTCCTAATAAGGTTCCTAAATTGGTTTATACAGGGTGGCACAATAGTTTGCCTCGTTTATTACTTGGTTTAGAAAAAAAAGTTAAGTACAATAGAAACAATCTAAAATTCATAAATATGTGGGAAATCAAACTTATATTTTTCTATATGGAACACACTGTATATTATGGCAATAATAGATACTCCCTTTTACACTTAATGACCCAATGTAGGTCTATAGCGACTGCTTTCGAATTTTGTTTAACACTCGCTATTTCCGACAACTGTAATTGTGCTGAAGTTGTCCTTTGTATATTATACTTCCTTTAATTACCCCTATTAATGCTCTTTCAATTTTAGTAAGCATTCCCTATAGCTATACTTAGTATTTTTTTACGAACAAACCACTGAAAACTTTCAGACCGTGCAAAAATTTGTGAAGAGTAGTTTGAATGATATCTGCCTGATAAAGTGATTAAGGCTTTCGCGGCCAGCGTTTGAACTGTAAGTGTTTTTGTTCGGGCTTGATGGCCGTCGTTGAGTGGAATTTCTTCCTGACGTTTCGCTAGCACGGGCGGCTAGCTTCTTCTGAGGTGCTTCCATCTTCGATGTTGGATGCAGGATGCAGATTGACGCGCTTTGTCCCAGCCCAGAACTGCCTCACGACCGGGTGAACAACTAACGGTTGAAGTGCTTATCTACCTTTTATTCCTCGAGTGACAGACAGGATCGGAAAAATATTGAAAAACCATAATATTAACACAATATTTAAACCAACAAGGAAAATACAACAAACTCTAAGATCCAAGGACAAGAGAGATCCACTGTCAGCCGCCGGAGTCTACCGCATACCATGCACGTGTGGAAAGGTGTACGTTGGAACGACAAAAAGATCTGTTGCAACCAGGATAAAGGAACATCGGAGAAACTGCAGACTGGGACAGACGGACAAATCGGCAGTAGCGGAACACGCGCTCAGTGAAGGGGATCACAACATTCTTTTTGGGGAAGCCAGGTTTCTTGCGCCTACTTCGAGCTATCTATCATGCCCGCCTCGTACGAGAAGCAATAGAAATCCATAAACATACAAATAATTTCAATAGAAAAGAAAAGACACTGCAGCTCAAACAAATTTGGAACGTCATCTTAAGGAACACAAGGACAGCCCCGGTAGACACAACCACTCATGCGTTAAATTGCCCCGCCCCCCTTCCACGACTCCCCAGGCATAAATACAACTTACGGACGGGAGCGCGTCAGTCTGCATCCTGCATCCATCATCGGAGAAGGAAGCACCTCAGAAGAAGCTAGCCGCTCGTGCTAGCGAAACGTCAGGAAGAAATTCCACTCAACGGCGGCCATTAAGCCCGAACAAAAACACTTACAGTTCGATATCTGCCTGTTTCGAAGAATGTAGGGGATTACTCTGTCTATTAAATCTATAATTTAGAGCATTTTCAAATTTTCTGACAAGACTGTAAAACAGTACTATTAAAGATTTTTTATTATTAAACCCATCAGTCACGCGTAAAATAAATCCAAGACTCTTTAGAGAGTTTTGAACAATGTTTTCTGTGTGCATCTCAAAAAGAAGCTTCGAATCCATTGCAATACCCAGGGCCTTCCGAAAAGTTCAGTTTGTAATTACCTAGATAGAGATCACTTTTAATTTGGTAATTTAACACAGTGACACTCGTCAGGGTTGACAAGCAATCTGTTCAGAGAACAATATTCTTCGAAATTTGACAAATCTCTCTGCAACAATACGTAGTCTGCCGCCAATTTTAAAATTTTTAGATCATCTGGGTACAAGGAGTAAGTGCTATGTGAAAAGCACTGGCCAACATCATATAGGAAAATAGCAAACAATAAGGGACCCAAATGCGATCCCTGAGGTACTCCCAAGTTATGTTTATATTCTTTGATTTTATCCTATTTACAACAACATACTGAGATCGCCCGCACAAGTAACTCTTAAGGAGGGCGAGCAAAACACCGTGCACACCGAAAATCTCCAGTTTCACGGCAAGAGTTGGGTGGTGTATTTTATCAAAAACTGATCCAGGTCCCTTTTGGGGATATATGATAAACATTATAATATTCTTGTGGTGGAATTTGTTTTATTAGTGAAGGGGTGTTAGATGATTCAAAGAAGCTTGAGAAAAATTCACAGATACCAAGGTTGTTCGAAACATGCGAGGTGTTTAGGGTCATTCTTGGTGGCAAAATTTTTGTGTTTTTTTTTGCAAATAAACGACCAAAAATATTTTGTTCCGTTACAGCAATGTACACTTTGTAATCTTTACTAATATTAATTTTAACGGTATTTCTTAAATTCGAAAAAACTTCATTAACTATTTGTCCCCTATTTTTCCATTCCCTGTGTGCTCGTTCCTTGCTTTTTATCAATACAATAGTGCGCCCATAAGGGATATTTCCGTTTTTTTATATTGATTTTTGGTATATGTGTATCTACAATTTCTGACAATTTTTCATAAAAACAGTCGAGATTAGAATAAACATCACTGGATGTCAATAAAGCATTCCAAGGAATAAATTATTTCATAATTGGCTTTAGAAAAATTTAATTTTTTGTAAGAATAACAAATAATCTTTTTTTCGCAGATCAAATTAATACTTATTTTTAACGATGGATGGCAGTCCATAGGAACGAACTGACTATTACATTCAATTACCTTCATCTTTAGAGAACCAGACATGACTAGATCCAACATTTTGTTCCTAGTATTTCAAACGTCATAGGAACTCAGAGGATCAGAGGCATTACTAGACAACAAATCATTGCAATTTATGAGGCGGGATGTATACAGTGCAAATTATTTTTTTACCGCCATTCAAATTGACACTCACCCATAAATCTTCAATAATCAATTCACGAACCGCCATCAATACCCCAGCACCATCAGTTTTTCCACTAAGAGAAACATTACGATCCAGTCTAAAAACATGATAGCCTGGAGGAAACAGCTCTGAATCTTGAATATTAGGTCTTAACCAAGACTCTGTTATTGAAACACAGTCATACTCGACACTACACATAGATTGAAAGAAATCGCCTGTTTTTGTCCAAAGGCCTCTAGGGTTTTGTAAGTAGACTGAAAATTCTGCTATTGGAGCCATCGGATGCTAAAATAGTACTTCACAGCTAAAAAAGCTAATTATTTTAAACATCCAATACAGAGATATGAATAGCTCTACTAG